TAACTTTTCTGCTTTACCTTTTGACTCAGAGATCTCAGTATCCTTGTTTTCAATAACATCTCACCATCTGTGCCAGCAAGAACATTGGCGATACAGCATTTTGGAAACACTGTTTTACTGGGGTTTCTTCCAAATCACTGGCCCTCTTTGTCAGTTTTGAAGCTGACACTTTCATGGTACTTTTTGTTGTTGTGTTTTTTTATTTTTTAATATTTTGAAGCTGTCACTTTCTTGACCTTCTGGAAGGTGTGAGGGAAACTCTAGTCTCTGACAAGACATTTGCAACCCAGTTATCTTTAGCTTATGGAGAAGGTAGCTCTTCACACCTTAATGATTTTAGGGATAGAGAAAAGGAATAAGGAAGGGCACTGAGACAAGAAAAGTCTCCCCATTTGTTGTGTGGTGCCCAGAATGTATTTAGTAGAGAACATGCTTTTCTTATGTAAATAAGATAGATCATGAATAGAGATTAACATGAATCCATTCACATTAAATTGCAAATGATTGCTTTTGTGATCCTCTCTGAGAATAAAGAAAAATAAGATCAAAGTGGACAAGCTACTCAGTCAAGTGAGGAAGTACCTCAAAGAGGGAAATGGTCATAGGGACTTATATCTGGGACCTTTCTGAGCTAGTTTGTTCTAACTCACTCTTCTGGTAAGACTGGTCTTGTATGTAAATGTTGCAGGAATGCGCCTAACTTACTACTTCATTTTAGCTATTCCCACAGCATCGGCATACAAGAACACATAATATACTTGGTTACATAATTCTTTGTTTGACTAATTCTTGTCCCATTACTCAAAGAAAAGCACAAGTAGGTTACAAAAATAGAATCATAGTGTAACATTTTTTTTTAAATATGGTAATAAAAGGAAAAGAAAAATGAGAGTTGAATGTTCTGATAAAGTGAAGGTGAGTTATCAACAGAAGTATGTGTGGGGGGGATCCTGCACATTTAATTAAAGTGGTGCAGATGTCCTAAGATATCTACAATAAAGAAAGAGAAAGATGTAAATTCATCATACCTCCGTGATGCCCACCAGTCAATCAGGAGTGAATATGCAAATTATTCCAACAAAATGGTAGGTTGATTTGCATGTGCAGGCACAGAGCAAAGACTGAAGACTGAAAACTGAAGGCTCTGCTGCGGCCAGAGACAAGCCTGAAGGCTGAAGGCTTGGCTTCGCTGCAGCTGTAGGAAAACCAGGGCCGGAAGGAAGGTCTATTGTATGAATCTTCGTGCAATGAGCCTCTAGTATTTTACATTAAGGAAATATTTCATTGAATTCTTATTCAGAATTGATTTTAAAAATTGGTGGGGAGAACCAAGATAGCAGCATAGGTAAACACCTGAAATGCTGCCTTGTATAGCCACTTCAAAACTACAACTAAAAGACAAAAAAGATATTATCCAGAACCACAGGAAGGCTGGCTGAGTGGAATTTATACAACTAGAAGGACAGAGAAAAGCACATTGAGAGTGGGAGGAGGTGTGGAAGTACGGAAGTAAAGTGCAGAGGTTCGGAGGCTCAGAAAAGGGCTGGCAACTGGGTAGTTGTCTTTTTCAATCGGGAGAGAAATACAAGCTCCAGACTGCTCTGAACTTCAGTTCTGGGTGAGACTCTGGGGACCCAGACTCATAGGAGAAAAAACTAAACTGTCTGGCATTGGGCCGGAACATGAAAACAGCTTTCTCTCAGAGGTGTTTGCAGCGATTACTGCGGGACACTGAGACCCAAGGGCCTCTGAGGATAGGGCTGATGGTCAGACATTGCTGTCTGCTCCACCCCAGTGATTCCCTGAGACCCCAACCCTAACCAATTTACAATCCCACCCAAGCTGTGTGCAGAGGTATTTGCATATGAATGGCCTGGTTTTTGCAATCTAATACCTAACAAATTGTAGCTGGGTCAGAGAGCCCAGAGCCTCCAAAAGAAGGCCCAAGGCCCCACAGCAGCTTGCATTGCTTCACAGCTGGGCCTCATCTGAGTACCTCTAAACCCCAAACAAAGAGGAGGAATCTGCAGATCTCTTTGTAGATCTGCTAAGTAGCCTCAGGCAGTGCCTAACTTTGCATATCCTTGAAGATCCAAGAGCCAGTGAACCCAGTGGTCAGGGTGAGACAATCCAGATTACAACTCTTCACATCCATAAGAGACATACTCAGGTGGCACCAAAGCCCCACTGAAGAAGTCTTGCCCCATAAGGGTATCTCCAGAACAGAACTTCTCCAATTGTAGACACAACTGATCCTCACAGCCAATTGGCCTGGAGGTCAATTCCTCCCAGTGATACCAACAGCAATCAAGGCTTAACTAGAACAAGACTGTGCACACAGCTCACAAAGGGATGCACCAAGAGAGTCTGAGATAAGCTGAGCCAGATTATCCAGGCTTTGGAGTCTACACTCTTATGCCCAGAAATTTAGTTTGACATGAAACCAAATTGTGAAAAAGATGTCAGGGTAAATAAATTGGCGTGTTGTTTTTTGTTTGTTTGTTTTTCATGCCCCTTACCTGATTTCCTTTAGGATCATCTGGTTTGTTTTATGGTTATTGTGTGGAAATGTATGTGGCAGAACCAAACGGCACTGTGACAGCATTCTAAAGCAAGTAGCTAACAAGGCAGATGTCCTCTATTAAAACATGAGAGAATTGGAATTTGTCAAACACAGCAATTATGAGAGGATTATTTGTATCATCAAAAACTCAAGTACCTGCCGAAACCGGTTTGGCTTAGTGGTAGAGCGTCGGTCTGCAGACTGAAAGGTCCCAGGTTTGATTCCAATCAGGGGCATGTACGTTGGTTGTGGGCACATCCCCGGGGGGGGGGTGCAAGAGGCAGCTGATCGGTTGTAAAAAATCAATAAAAAATATATTAAACAAACAAACAAACAAACAAAAACTCTAGTACTTATAAAGGATTTTAATAGTAGTTTTCCCCAAACAGTAAACTGTCTCTATGGTCTACCATAGGGCATTTAAAATATTAAGCAAATTAGATATAAATAGCCTACAACCATGTATATAGGCTTAACTATTAGAAAAGGAACATTTGTTAAGGTAATTGCATTCCACACAATTTTCTTAAATTGACATTTTAGTTAACACATGCTTTAAACGAAAAAGTCATGTATTTTGGCATGTTTTACCAGAACTTCTGATCAGGCTACTGTTGTGTGAATTTCCAGGTTGCTACAAACCCACAAAGAATTTCATAGCTCAGAATAGAAATAGAATTCTTTTTCACTTGTTTTATTTTTCCATATCTGTGTTACCAATCAAATGCAAACACTGCTGAAATCCATGAACACTGAAAGTTTTTAATGAGCAGAGAATCATGTGCACCCAGATTCCAACATCTGTTCCAATCTGTAATTGGCTGTAAGTGCCTTTGCTTTATGCAAAATGACTGGGATCATAACAAAAATTACTTTTAAATTGCTTGTATGTCTTGGATCATGCATGATATTTTTCTAGTACTTCAAGCCTTCTTAAAAACCACTGAGGTATAGTTGGGTTAATGTGTATCAAGGAAGGAAATAAAAGGTTAACTCTAAGAGGCTCTGTCACACTAAGGACAATTTAAGAAAAATAGGGATTTAGCTTTGATTTCTAGAAGTGAATGCCAGAGTTTTAGTAAAAGGGCATTTTGAGAGCTAGATTAAGACCTTCCAGAGACCTCCCAGACGTCCTTCTGGACAAAGCCATGGTGGCAGGGCCAAGGCAGAGGCAGTTAGGGGCAATCAAGCAGGCAGGCAGGTGAGTGGTTAGGAGCCAGCGGTCCCCGATTGGAGAGGGTGCAGGCTGGGCTGAGGGAATCACAAATTTCATGCACAAGGTCACTAATATTATAAATAATACCCATCACTTAGTTAATCTAGTAGAGCTGCTTATAAAATGCTACTTAGTATGCCCCAAGTGCATTTGCCTTATTACATATATTGAAACCAACCATACATCTTGTAAACATCAGCTTAAAAAAGAGCATTATATAAATTATTAGCTCATGATTGAGTTAGCACATACTAATTATTTAAACATCATTTTATTTAAAACCTAAATATTTCAAAAACAGATTCTTTATTAATTTATTTTCCTTTAGCACATTTTAGGTGAAAATTATAGCAACCTAAAATTGTGAGCTTATTTTAAAATTGTTCACAAAAATGATAGGTTAGATATGAGACTGGTTGAAAAATTATATAACTAGATAAAATAGGTCATTATAAATATTTATATGTTGTTTTGGCCAGTGTTGTTCAATGGTTAGAGTGTCAGCCCATGAGCTAAAGGATCACCATTTGATTCCTACTCAAGGGAATGCATCTGGTTTGATCCCTAACCCTGGTTGGGGCAGTTATGAGAGGGAACCAATTAATGTGTTTGTGTGTGTCTCTCCCATCAATATTTCTCTCTCTCTTTCTCTCTCTTTTTCTACCTCTTTCTCTCTTCTTCCTTCCCTTTCACTTTCTCTTAAAAAAAATCAATGGAAAAAATATCCTTAGGTGAGGATTAAAAACAACAAAATAATATCTTCACAAAAGTGAGCAATTTCAGATCATACAACAGGTGACATGACTATATATCTTATGCAAGTAGGATTTTCCGTCCCTGATTTTTGCATCAGGCTGACCCTCTGAGAGTAAAAGGGTCACAGAATTGATTTGATCTGATTTTTTAAAAAAATCTCTTTACAGGGGAAAGGATTGATGAAGATGTGTTATGAAATCCATGTCTAGTAAGATTCTTTTAAGACCTATCCCCTACCTCTGTCCATTTGGTCTTAAAAATCTGGATTTAATTTTCATTTTAAAAACTGAACTAAATTGAACTATGCAAGAAGTATTAACTTTCTGAATTCCTGGGTCCTCTCATCCACTGTGGTTACAATGACTAACGTTGGGAGCACTGAGTCAGGACATGGGTGTGCTGTGGCAAATGCTGCTCGTTCTCAACAAATTTTATTGATCAAGTTATTATTATTATTATTTCCAGATGCAGAGCCTAAATATCTGATTGTCGTGCGACCTGCCCCTCCACCAAGTCAAAAGAAGTCATGCTCAGGTATTTTTCATTCATTTTGTTTTTTATTAACTCTAAACCATGACTTTTTGTCTCTTTTCTACCCACGGAGACCAGAGCCTTGGGAAGGCCTAAGAATGCAGATCAGAAGTTGAAACTTGCGCAGCAGGCTCTGGGTCGATAGATTAGTAGCAGAGTCCAGTGGAGACTTCTCAGGATCCTATCCCTGTACCACCACCTGTGCACTGCAGGGCTTTAGGCAACTATGTAAATTCTCAGCGCCTCCTTTCTGCTGCCTAATTAGGGTCATCGTGAGAATTAGAGTTCGTGGATATGCCACACCTAGGCCAAGGCCTGGCACATAGCAAGTGCTCACTGAGAGTTGCTCCTGTTCGTGTTTTTGTTTTGAAATGTGTGACCTCATGCTTGCTATTGTGCCTTTCAGATTTTGAAGGCAAATGTTGATGTCTAACCTTTGCTGAAGGAGTTTACATTTCAAAGGCATAATTAATCTATATGTGTTGGATTAAATAGACTGGAATTTAGGTTTTATTTACTCCTGATCTCTCCCTTCTAAACCTCTTCTATTTAGTCAAATATAGAAGAGCCTCCTTTTATGAAACAACAGTGCAACACCCATCTTCCCTTGGATAGGATGTCTTGAAACAGGAACATAGGTGCCATAGGAATAAATGAGTAGGATTATTTCCACATGATGAAAAGATTAAAATCCTTCTTGAAATTGCCCCAGTTTTACTAGTTAAGTGTCTTCTCAGATCAAATGAGTTGCCATTGCTTTAAAAAGGGACCAATTATAGCTGTGAATGTGATTTTACCACCTGATACTATACCTTCCTAACTCTGTAAGTAGGGTTGACCTTGTTTTCCAATTTGAACTGTCCTCAAAATAATTATTTCCTAATCAGACTTATCCTTTATAGTACACTGGTTGCCACACACACACAAAGGATCTTTTTTGTTTTGTTTAATTTTTGTTACATCTTTTTTAAGGCATAAAATGGGTGGAGAGAACATACAGATCTTTAAATATACCAAGCAAGGGGTCCTGCACAGCTGTGTGTTCGTCTTCCAGCCAAACCTGGTTCCCAGGAATCAGTTGCCACAATCCTCTCCCCTCTCCTCCTTCCCAACCCTCCTTTTGGTGTTTCCACTTCTTTTAAGAGAAGCAATAAATAGTCAAGCATTTTGAAAAATACACATTCCTTTTCCTGACCTTTTATATTTTCCAAAGCCCAAGGAAAATTTCAATCACTGCTTTCAACTTGTTAACAATAGTTGTCCAGGCAGCTTTCCATACTCTTCAAGATAAATAATCTCACAATATTTCAAGATTCTGTTTAAAAATATTTAACAATATAGTCAAGAAGCATTGAGTCTGGTTCCATGGGATTCTGGCTTCATATTCATTGAACTATTTCTTAATGCAAATATGACATAATACAAATATACAAAAATATATAAGGAAAGTGAAGGCGGTGATTGCACCTCAGTAGCACCTGATAACTTCATTTCCTGTTGGAGCTGCTATGACACTGGCCTCAGAAGGCATTTTTCACTTTGTGATGACCAGAGCAGGAAACGGCATCATTTTGCTCAGGATATAACGCCCCACCTTTCCTTTCAGGCAGCAGATATTATTTTTGTTTTTGTAATCTGCATTTGAGAAGGATAACATGACTAATGGATTCACTTCCATTCATTTTATATTTGCATCTAAAATTGTAATTATTTAATCATTTTATATTAAAATCAAACTTAGTAAAATAATTATTTGATGGGTCATGTAAGCCATAGGTCCCCTTGTGAAAGAAAAATGTATCTTTGGTCTGTAAGTGGCATCATATTCATAAGGTGTCAGATAAACAAATGATGCAGTAAAACGAAAACTATATTACAATTGCCTTTGATGTGACCTTGGCTACCCTTGAAAGTTTTGTAGGTTGAAAGTTATATTTACCTGTAAAATAAGATTACATTAATATTACATTAGTCAAAAATCAACTCAGGGTGGAAAAAGGCATGCCAGAATCACCTCGGGGCTTTTAAAAACTACCAGTGCTCCCTACCCTCATTTTAGATTCTAATCTGCCCATCTTGGCGCCCAGACTTGGACCCTTTGTATCACAATCATACAAGGTACTATGATGGGTGGATTGGAAAAATCTATAGAGATGTATAAATGCATGTTTGCACCCAAGTAAACAATAACTATTATTGAAAATTATTTCAAATATCTTGTAAAAATTCAGCAATGTTACAATGAGACAATTTGTCCTCATTAGGTTATGTATTTTCTGGGCTCAGAAGATTTTTTCATTGAAATAACAATTTTCAGAAACTTAAATCTAGTAGAAGCAACAGTGTGACACAATTTTCAAGGGCTTTTGGTTCAGATAAGCTCCACTAAGCTCATACACTGGGTACCTTCCTACCCACTGGTTCTCATTTGCATTAGACTAAGATAACACACAAGGTGGTCCTATTGTAAATACAACACCCATAGTCTCATGAAATGAAAGAGGAATCCAATGAGAATACAAATATGTATGTTTATTTTAGCTCTATGCAGTTTTATGAGGTCTGCTATTGGATTTTTATTTTATTCACTCTGATTTTTTTTTGTGAGCCAGTGTTGGTTTCTGTGGTTGAGGACCTTCCCTTCTCTTTTTCACTGTTTCCATTCTTACAGTTTCACATATTTTGAAAATGTGAAATGTCTGGCCTCTTTATACTTGAAAAGAATCTACAGTGGTTTATCAGCATTGCCCAAATCTACTTAGTCCCATTGGAACAGCTGTGCTTCCTGTTACTCCCACTCTCCCAGCATTGTTAAAAGTGGATCTGCATTTTCCATTTGGATCCTCACTGTAAAAAATATTCTTATTTTAATAGTATGATGGGTAACACTCCAAAATAGGTTTTAAAGAAAGAATATTCCTACACCTAGATGCTGAGCTTACTTTTCTCAGATGTTATTTCACACTAATTCACAGTCCCAGGGGGAAAATAGCATGTTTTTATTTTGTGTGTAAAAGAAATGGAATAAGTATGTATGTAAACATACATACATATATGTATATGTGAATATGGTATGTATATGTATATGAAAATGTGTGTGTTTTTATTTTACTGGTATCAGCCAAGACCTCCATATTCATCCCTGACTCACAAGAAAATAAAAATTAGATATAATTGGGTATAGTTTATATGTATATATTACACATATATGATTATATACATATATACATATGCACACACATAAATATCAAAAAGGAATATTTCATTTGATTCATGCTTAAATTAAATGTCAAAGAATTAGTAATATTTCTGCATTATATAAAAAGAACTTGATACTTTCACACTTTCCTTCATCTTACCAAGTCATCTTCATGCATTTTATCCCAATCATGAAAATACACTGTTACAGAATTAACCTATATGTTACCTCCGTAGGCAAATCACGCTCTCGCAAGCCTCTCCAGCTGGTGGTTGGCACTCTGACACCAAGCTCTGTCTTCCTGTCCTGGGGCTTCCTCATTAACCCACACCATGACTGGACATTGCCGAGTCACTGTCCCAATGACAGGTAACTCATCATAACGGAAGACTTAATTTTTCATCTGAAAATTAGTGCCTGCTTTTAATATTATTTGTGCATGCTCTTAGAAGAGTGTATAAATATCAGGAGCATCAGCATTTACAGGTCACCTCTTAGCTGTCCAGCCCATTCTGGATGTAAGGGGAATGCAAAGGTTTACCCATAAGGGAGTTACCATCTACCTGAATAGAAACATGCAAGTATGTTTTCTGTTTTCTTTTTTGATTGATTTCAGAGAGGAAGGAAGAAGGTGAAAGAGATAGAAACATCAATGATGAGAGAGAATAGTTGATTGGCTGCCTCCTGCATGCTCCTCAACCTGGGCATGTGCCCTGACCAGACATTGAACAGTGACCTCCTGGGTCATAGGTTGATGCTCAACCACTGAGCCACATAGACTGGACAATATGTTTTCTCAACAAAGAATAAACTTCCAGGTAGAATAAGCCACATGGCAAATGGGGAGTATCAGTGAGAAGCGTAATGACAGCTCAGAGGATGAGGCTGAAGGCAGTTAGGAAAGACTGTTAAAAGTTGGAAAGGTAAATGTCCTAGAGAAATATAGTAGCATTCTGTTCACCCTTTGCAAGCAAAAAGAGTAGATCGTTCCACTACTGACAAAACATAAAAATAAAAATAAAATTGGAAAGGTTGCTGGCTCCCAGGAAAGATGTATATTTATTTATTTTTTGGTTTGTTTGTTTTTGCCTAACTTATCCATTTACACTCCCATAAGCAACATAGGAAGGGTTCCAGTTGCTCCCCGTTCTCACCATGTTTTGTGTTGTTAGTATTTTTCTAGTGTAGTCTTCTCTCATTGCCATTTTGATATGCATTTCTCATGTACTAAGGTGTTTTTTATGTACCTTTTGGCCAAATATATATTTGTGTACTGCTTATTTTTATTTGTCTAAATTTAACTACAAAGAAAGACCTTTAAGATGTTTATAAGTCCTCAAAAGTGCCTTTCGTATGACTTTGATTAGGAAATCTAGACTATGAAAAAAATTAAATTTCCCTTCACATGTTCATCCTACAGTTCTGAAAGAGACATTTTTGGGGAAAGGCATGTAGAAGATATTGCCAAACCCAATTTAAAAAAAATAATTTTGAGATGTTACAAAAAAATCTGAAATATTTTTATTTCACCCACCACTAAACCCATACTTATTTTGTTTGGAAATGGATTCTTAAAAGAACGTGCTTTCTTGTGATAATTCCAGTTTCTAGTGGATTGGTCCAGGGTGACAATGCTGAGAAAATAAACATTTATAAATTGCTTTCTTTTTTAAAAATAACTTTTTATTCTCTTATTTTTTAAAAAGTTGAAAAGTGGGGAGGGGAAGAAGAAAAGGGGGAAGAAAGGAGAGAAGGAAGGAAAGAAGGAGGAAGAAAAGAAATTTGGTACACTTGTAGCAAAATGCAGTTATTCAACTTGCTTGATAAATCACTGAGGTTCAGTAACCTGCAAATTCATATAGCACAGGACGGATGTGATTTCCTCCCCTGTCTTTAAGCCTTTGCTCTAATCTCACCTGGTCTTACTGACCCTCTCATGAAAGAATTTATCTAATGACAGATTCTAATAGATAGCTGTTGTCATGGACTGACAGCACGTTGAGAGAACGAATTTGGAGAAGTAGAGGAACCAGGATTTTAATCAAGGAAGGTGGCTTACAGGCCCAAGCTACACAGACCACCCATGCACCTCACCCTCACCCCTTAACACCCTGACTCTGTCCTTTTCAACAAGTAGATGGACTCATGCCTGTCAAATCATAATATTTAAAATAAAAAATTCCATTTCAAATAAAGTTTCTTTAAAAATGGGCATGAGAGGGGGCTTAGGGGAGCAATGGGGGAATAAAGGCACATATGTAATCAATAAAGAAAATAAAAAAGAAATAAAAAATTAAAATTAAATAATAGCATGTCAAGATGCTATGGACAGAAATAGGAAATAGTTAAGACATGACTAAAAGGGAAGAATTAAATAGTAATGACTAAAAGGAAGCACTTGGAGTATTTGTGAATTTCATTTAACTATGCCTCCTTTCTCCCCAGTAGAGTTAATAAAGAGCTGACATTTTAGTCTTTGTGGTATTTGAGAAAAAAATAGTAGTCCCTACTTAAAAGCTCTCTCGAAATGCTATACTCAGTATAAGCAGCCAAATAAACCCACCAGAACAACTCTAAATTAGTGTAATTGTAAGCAGATTTGGAGAAATTCACTCTCAGATGATTATGCAGATGTTTTTAGAATTTAGACTAATCTAGTAGGTTAGAATAAGCAATAATAGCTATGGCGAACAATTGCTTCTCAAAAATTGGAAGATTAATAAAACTGAAGTTTTCCTTCAGGAGTATCTTCTTACAAAACCATTGAAACTGAATGCCCTTGGCTTGCTACAGAAATACCAACTGATGTTATTTTAATCCACTGGACTCTAATATTTGGCCCCCTGTATAGAGTCTCTGATTTAAACACACACACAATGGAGGGGGGAAAAATGAGGAACATTTGTAATAATATGAACAATAAAAGATTTATTTAAAAAAAATAAACTCACACGCACACACACACACACACACACACACGCACACAACAAAACAAAACAAAACAAAAAAACACAAAAAGCGTTTCCATTGTTTTGTTGGATAGCCTCATTTATCCTACAAATACAAATAAATTTTTGGAAAAGTTTTGCTTTTTACTTTGCTTTTGGACTTCCTCTGTCAAAGCTCTGTGTAGTAAGTTTTCAGTGAGAAAACCCCTGTTTTTGTTTTGTTTTGTTTTAAACTTGGGAATATTAATTAAATGTTGATTTACTCTTTTGTGGTACGTGTTTCTATTCCTATTGGCATAGGGATCATATGGGTCTCCCTGTTTATAGACCCCTTTTTTAATTCACATTGGAGAATAGATGTGCTTAATTTATGGTTTTTATTCTTAATGGACTTTGAATGGAAGAATATTACACTTATCCTTGATAAATCTAAGGTCAAAAGAAAGCTTTCCAAATTGGCCCAGATGAAGAGTAAAACATATTTTTAACCAAAATTTATTTTGCCATTAATAACTTATTTTTTCTTTTCTGTGTTTCCAATTTAAATCGTTTAAGATTGCTTTAGTTCTTGCTTCTTTGCCAACTTATTGATGTTTTATGATCCATTTAGATATCATTTTAACATTTTCTAACACTTCCATATTATATTTATTTACTCTTAATGCAGAATGAGGGCCTCCTTGTTAGCTGGTTCAGAGCAGGCTGTTGACTCTCCCCCACCCCCAAAGTATTTAAGAAGTGGGTATTTTCAATATTTGTGGATTTTCAACTGAATGAGCATAATGCCTTGGTATCCATTTGTCTTGCCATGTATATTTTAAGTCCTGTGAGGAGAGAGATAATATGTACATTTATCACCATTATCTCACAAGTCCCTGAAGCCAGCATCTGGTACTAGTAGACCTTCAGTAAATGGATGCTGACATTTCACTGAATAATAAGCAGTGAAATGTCAGCATTTTTACTTTTATGTTGTACCATTATTTGAAACTTAACATGATGTATTACCTCATTTGTCTTATTACTTTCTAAAGTATCACAATTTTTCCACTCACCTTAGTTTGAATCTTTACCCATTTTTCCATCTCTTATAATGAGCCCCATGTTATATTGTTTTTGCCTTTGAGAAGTAAACATATAAGTATCTTTGTCTTTTACTTCTCCATTTCCACACCAATGATTCCAATCCAGGCACTCCTCACCTTACCCCCAATCATGGAAATAGCATCCTGGCTTTTTTTCTACCCTAACCCATCCTGGCTCTTGCAAAACTGAGAAAATTTAGAGTATCCACTATCAGCTTACTCTTTTTTCAGCCCAAATTTATCTTTACCATTCTTTTCTCTTTTTTCCAAGGGGTATATGTTTTGCTTCGTACAATAACCATTGAGTCCCTTCCACATTCTGTAAGCCTTTCTCTTTTACATTTGCCCCTTCACTGTCATTGGTGCTCTGCCTTTGGCTTATAAACATGCTCTAGAGTTCACTACCTGAAAACAAAATCTGTTGGTCCTGTTATATCTTCCAAACTATGGTGTTTTTTTAAAATTTATATTTATTGTCAAAAGTATTACAAATGTCCCCTTGTCCCCTCTCCCCCATTGACCTCCTCCTCCCAACTCCAGCCCCATCCCCAGGCCTTCATTGCACTATTGTCTATGTCCATGGGTTATACATAATGCATGTTAATTCTTTGGTCAATCTCTTCCGACTCCCCCTCAGAAACATATAAGTCTATTGCATACTTCAATGTCTCTGGTTCTATTTTGTTCCTCATTTTATTTTTGTCATTAGATTTCACATATAATTATGTGAGATTATGTGATACCTGTCTTCCTCTGACTGGCTTATTTTGCTTAGCATAATACTCTCCAGGTCCCTCCATGCTGTCTCAAAGGATGAGAGATCCTTCTTTTTTTACAGCTGCATTCTATGTTTTAATCTCCTCTCTTAATTCCTAAACTTCAGCTCACATATTCCCAATTTCTATGCCACCCATACAGTGGCTTCCATCCCTCTCTACCATTCACTGAAACTTCTCTCTGAGGTCATAACTGATCAACTAATTGCTAAATAGATGTAGAACAGTACTCAATTGATGTGTGTGTAAATCATTAGGGAGACCTTATTGAAGTGCTGATTCTGAGTTTATTGGCATGATTTGACATTTCTAAACTCCCAAGAATTTATGGTGTGACTGTTCCACAGAGAACAGCAGGAATGGCAACCATATAAATGATTTCCAATGCTGAACCTCAGACCTTGGCCCATTTCCAAAACTCTTAGATATGTTTAGTTACCTATGGAATATTCTCATTAGGTTAACCATTGCCCTGCGAGCTCATTTTTGAAGTTAAGCATAGTGTCCCACTCATCTTCCATCTCACAAAGAACCTAGCATCATGTTTTACAGACTAGGTCTCAACAAATGTATGAACAAATAAGCAAATGGAATGTCAAGAATAAGACTTAAAAATCATCTAGCCAGTCCATTCAGCCTTGAACCCCCTCTGCAATATCTCCCATCCAGAGTTTGCAATGAATACCTCCAGGGAGGTAACTACTGGCTGTACAAATTCTAGTCAGATTAACCTAAGTTAAATCCTGCTCTATTATGAACTGTGTGGCCTTTGGCAGGTTACTGAAATGCTTCAAGTTTTGGTTTTCTCATCTTTAAAATGGGAGTAATAATAGTAATATCTCATAAGGCTGTCAGATTTAATGAAATGACACCATAAAAGGTGGCTAGGTTCCCATAGTGTCTGGCATGCAGTGAACACTAAATAAATGGTGCTTATTGTGTTCTACTAGCCTTACTTTTTTTTATTTATACTATTACCTTATGTTATAATTATTCACAACATACTGTTGTAATTATCACTTCAGACAAGCTATTTCATTTTAGATAGCACTAAAATTATTAGAAACTTATTTTGTTGAGCTTAAGCCAGCCAGCAGTAGGTAATATGGAAAAGAGATTTGGGAAATGGTTGACCAGTTTGAAAATTATTGCAAAAGTTCAAAGATAACAAGGACCTACACTAGGTCCTTAAACTCCTTAGGAATAGAGACAAGCCAGGTGCAAGAGGAATCATGCAGGAAAAATAACTGGCCTTGAGCACTGATTGGACATGAGGGAAGAAGAGACCTGAAAAGTTTGAAAATGAAGATAGGTAGATTTTAAAGTAGTTATGAAATTCATGGAGGAGTAAGTCATTGGATTTGGTCCTAAGGTTTTACTATACTAACCAGTCAGACACTACATTGCAGAGGATTACTGGGGTGGTGAATATGATACAATATAAGAAGATGTATTATAGAATTATACATCTGAAAGCTATATAATTTTATTAACCAATGTCACTCCAATAAATTCAATAAAAAAATAAACATTTTAAAGCCAAACAAAACAAAAAATAAAGAGGTGTAGGCATTGTGAATGGTAAGAAAGTGAAAGTATATTGCTTTCAAGAATTGGTGTTAGCTGAAACCGGTTTGGCTCAATGGATAGAGCGTAGGCCTGCCGACTGAAAGGTCCCAGGTTCGATTCCGGTCAAGGGCATGTACCCTGGTTGAGGGCACATCCCCAGCAGGAGGTGTGCAAGAGGCAGCTAATCGATGATTCTCTCTCATCGATGTTTTTAATTCTCTATCCCTCTTCTTTCCTCTCTGTAAAAAAATCAATAATATATATATATATTTTTTTTTAAAAGAATTGGTGTTAAAAGATAGTGGCAGGAGTAAGAAGTAAGCATCAGTTTTACTTTGTTTTGATAGAATAGAAAATATTTAAACATCATTTAGACTTAAAAAATGGTCCTTGGAAGATCAAGAAAATGGTTGGGGAGCAGATTGAATTAGGACATGGAATAAAATTACCAAGTTGCTTAATTTTTGGAAGGGAGAACCCTGGAATCAGAGAGAAGCAGGGAGAGAGTGAAGGGGAAGAGAGACACTTTCAGAGGAAAGGAGTGAGGACAGAATTTGTATCACTAGTCACAGTCTCGGTGTGGCATTGATAAAGGGGTTACAGGAAGTGTACTTTGATGTTAAGAGAGCAAAAAAAATTGTGAAATAGATGTTTTAGGAAATACAGTAGTAGTTAGTCACATAGAAATAAAAACATTGCTGTGGGGGATAGAGGGTTAACCTGGGAATTTATATGCAATAAATGCATAGTTTATGGACACAGACAATAGTGGGGTGAGGATTTGGGAGAGGTGGGTGTGAGTTAGAGTGTGTCACTGGGAAAAAATGAAAAGAGGGACATCTGTAATACTTTCAACAATAAAGATAATTTTTTTAAAGAAGACATTGCTGAAAAAGTATGGAAAGTGCCATAGATGGCCTGCCATGTGTAGCAAGCCAGATAGTTTGGCTTTATTTTGACATTCTTCCATTTCTAATCGTAGTATAATTTACTGTCATCTATATCACAAATTTTGTTTTTGGAGTTTCTACCTCTGAGATTTTACCCTATGTTCTGCCTTTGTATTTTATTAGACTAGAATGCCTGATGTGTAGCTAGAATAAATTGTTAGTAACAGACATAATCTCAAAGATCATCTAGTCAAATTCCCTTCTTTTTCAATGGAGGAAAAATCTATGCATTAGTGGACAAAGAGACTCTCCAGAGGTCACACTACTAATTTGCAGCTGACAAATATCCAAGCCACTACCTGCCTTCTGTACCACGTTTTGAGGGTCTATGGATTTCTTTACATTATAACAATAGTTCTTGCCAATATTGAGACTATTGGGACATCAAAGCACAGGATAATGCCAGCTGAACCAAACACTGCCTTCAACAGTTTTATACTTAGGGTATGAGATGTTCTCTTAAAATCCAAATTGCTAGAAAATTCAAATTTCCAGAGGTCTTTGATGACATTCACGAGTTGCTACCTGTTTAATAGACTTGTTGCCCTCCATGCACTCGTGCCTAAATTTAATCATCCACAGAAAAGATGCAATCGACACTTAATCCTGGGTGTCCTCCAATAATAATGGGAAGTCTGTGATGGTAAATACACAATAAAACAAAAGATAAAAAGCCTTAAATAATGCTAAAAGGAATTGTGATTCCTTTTACTCTTCTATTTTGCATCATTTTACCATCTCCTTTTGTCAAGCATCACAGTAGGAAGATAACCCAATGCAATACAGAAGGTATTACCGGTAACCTTTGCATGGCTCTCTCATTGGTTATCAGATGTCAGACACTTCTCAGCCTCTCTTTTTCTTCCACAGATTTCTTGCTCTGCTCATTTTAGAGTTTATTGTATGAAAAAATCAAATAAATAATAAAAGTCTTAAGTCTTCTGCATATGTACAATGTAGACATTTATTGTATTTTCCTTCAGTTCGCACTGGTTTTATAGGATTTGTGAGTTTTGGTAAGTAAAACCTTCAGTAGTGACCACTGAAAAATATGATAGACCTAATTGTTTAAGCAAGGTACCTCCAATAAATTCAATAAAATGAAGAATAAATAAACCAATATATTTTGGTGATTGAATCATTGGCCATCCAGAGCAATTATATTCTAATTTTAGAATGATCCTATGAACACGTACGTAACCATTCTGCTCATCCCAGAAATATTTATGAAGCATCTGTGCTGTGCTAGGTTGTGCAGCACTGTTTATTATCACAGGCCTATATTTTGCTTTAAAATCAAGGAAACTTCTTTAAATAAGTAGTTTTGTATACTATCTCTTTTAGAATTTAGAACTTGCCTATATTACCTAATTATCAAGTAAACCAATGTGACAAAAGTAGGAAGCTGACTGAAGCAGAGGCTAATATTAAATATAGACTTTGGAGTAGATAAGAGGCTGTGATGTTTTGTTAAGAAACAAAAAAATTGAATCTCCCTGTGATTTCAAAGCATCACATTTTGGGTTTCCAACAGAGTTTATACAATTCGCTATAGAGAAAAGGATAAGGAAAAGAAATGGATTTTTCAACTCTGTCCAGCCACTGAAACAATTGTAGAAAACCTAAAGCCCAACACGGTTTATGAATTCGGAGTGAAAGACAATGTAGAAGGTGGAATATGGAGTAAGATTTTCAATCACAAGACTATTATTGGAAGTAAGTACCTAAATTATCTTAGCTTTCTGTAATATTTTTATTTCCCCCCTAATGTTCAAATTTCTAATTATGTATTAACTTTATGATATGAGACCAGTTAATTCCCATCTTCTAGTATTTGAAAAAACACAAATATAAACATAAACTGTTGAATATTGATTTTTCAGAATCTATCTTTTATGAGTGTGTTTTTTAAATGATACTAATATTTGATGCTACCATTGGTGACAGTTCATTGATCATTATAGTATTTTAAATCAACCCCTGATCTATGAACACCAATTTAGCTAAAAAAAACTAACAATTTGTGCACATATTCAGATGGATAGCTACCAGAAGTGAATGTAAGAAGACTTTAGGGGCCCTGGACTTTCTTCCAGTTATCCCTTCATTCAAAAACTTCATTGGAATCAGTGTTTTAAATTATAGTAAATAAAATAATATGCTCGAGTTGGAGAGAGCAGAAGTTATAGTTGTTTTCATAGTGATTGGTAAGAATTGACACAGAAACCATAAAAATGAAAATAATGTTATTTTTTCCCTTGTTTTTTCAGGTATAAACAAAGTAAATGGGAAAATTCAAAGTACCTATGACCAATCAAACACAGTGGTATGTACCAAGATATTTTCAAGAATATTTTTTTAAATTGTATTTGCATTGTATTTTTATTGAAATAAGAAAATAGTCCTATTATTGAGTACAGAGACTGAATCAATTGATTAGCTATGTATGGGGTGTTAGGTAAAAGTACTTAACATTTTAGGAATTCATTTTCCCCCCCAGAAAACAGAGTTGAACGTATAAGACAAGATCACACTAAATTATTTAAATATCTAAAAGTCTGATATTCAATATAGTTACTCTAGTACTTCAGTATTCTAGGTATTTTGAGATTGTGTTTATTATCTTCTGTCTTGTGGATCGTTTTTTACTATAACATATTCCAAGAGCAAATTGGTACCTGCTCTACTTACATTGCTACTGTTCAAATCTTCATCTATTTTCTATCACTTCCTATACATACATAAAAATTAACTCTTTTCAAAATGATAAAGCAATTGCTTTGTTGTTGTTTTAATGTGCCCAGCCTCTATTCAGTGCATGGAATGTTTGTGTATTTTTGAACCAGCCATTTCCCACCATCTAGACACCTTTTTCTCTCTCACTTCAGAAACTCAGTCCCTTGTTCTCCATTTTCCCTTCCCCTTTCAAAATCTGTCCTCAGGAACCATCTAACAGTTACATATTACCTGTTGCAAATGTAAGCCATTGGTATAACCATCGCACAGATGTTTGCATTTCAAATCACATGCCCAATTACAAAGTGAAGGACATTGTCACTGAGCAGGTAGTGGAAGCACTTTGGTGAGAAGAGGAGATTTGGTCCTAGCTTTGGTTTCTAGGTATTGAAGTATTCAGCCAGGGAAATATCCCATATTCAGGTGAACATACAAAGGCTATTTATGGTTGCATGTGTGCATGTGATGTATATGGATGGATATATCTTTGTGTCTAATTAAATTGTCCACAGAATACTCCATTGATTAAATAGTCCCATGAGGGAAAAAGGTAGTACATAACCCATTGGAAGAAAAAAAAAAAAATACTGAATTCTTTTCAGTAACAAATGGGTTTGGATAAAATAAAACTGAGAAATAATCTTGCTGAGGTGACTATTTCTATGGTTTGAATTGGCGGAAAAATGTGCATATTGGAGAATTATCTAATCATGATTATCAGATTATTATGATTGCCCAGAAAAGTATTTTGATGTATTTCAAATAATAATATTTAAAAAGAAGATTGCAGGTACATTCCCAAGCCATAAATCTTGTTTTATTTTTCTTTCCTATCTTTTTCCTCCTTCCCTCCCTCCACCCTCTCTTCCATTCTCCCTAATCCCTTCCTCTCTTCTTGTTTTCCTTCTCTCTTTTTTGTCCTTTCTGTCTTCCTCTTTCTTTTTTTCCTTTCCTCTTTCTTAGGTTTTGATTTTTTCTTAATTATTTAATTCATATTTAAAGATTTAGAATATATAAAATTCAAAAAGAAATATTAACAAAATTTTCTATTACAGTGCCAAATGACTAGTAATAGAACTATTTGTGGTCTACTGTTAAAACTTAGAATAATTTTTTATTTCTAAGAATATTTTTACTATAAAATTAAAATTATACTATATAATTTTAAAGCTCACTCTTTTTACTTAGCTGCCATATGCATAGCATATTCATATCATTATCTTCTTATAAGTAATTTTAATTGCTGTATAATACATGAACTGTATAATACATATGCTTTCACCTACCCCATCAGTTTCTACTTTGTAGGTATTTAAGTTATTTCTAATGGTATTTTAATTGTAAGTGATGTTGCAGTGAACATTTGTGATCATAAGTCTTTATTCACATTTCTGATTATTTCCTTACAATAGATTCTTAGAATGGGAGTTAACAGCCTAGGTATTTAACAGGTTTTTTGTGTGTTTTTTTTTTAACTTCTTAATATGTCTAGTCAAATTTCTTTCCAGAAAGGATAAACCAATTTTTCATGTTGTCAGCAATGTATAAAAGTTCTCATACTATAACATCCTGATTATTAGCATTCTGTATCTTCATCACTAAATTTCTAGCAAATATAATAGTGTAAAATGTTTTATTTTTATTTTATTGATTTTTATAGAGAGGAAGGGAGAGAGATAGAAAGTTAGAAACATCAATCAGCTGCCTCCTGCACAACCCCTCTGGGGATGTGCCCACAACCAAGGTACATGCCCTTGACCAGAATCGAACCAGGACCCTTCAGTCCGCAGGCCAATGCTCTATCCACTAAGCCAAACTGGTTTCAGCATAAAATGTTTTTTTGTTGTTGTTGTTTTGTTTTTTTAATTTCTATGTCTCTGCTGATAAAGCAGTACTTTCTTCATGTGTTAATTAGCCATTTGCATTTTTCACTTAATGACGTTTATCTTGGCTCTTGTTCATTGGGTGTCTCATGATATTTGTTAAGTAGTTTAAAGATATAGGTTAAAGATATATTGTAATATCATCTAGAAAAATTATTCTCAATTGTGTTATCAACTTTATGAGGATTTTTGAAATAGTCAAGACTTGAAATTTGTTTAATCAAATTATTATCTTTTCAATTGTCACATCTTTAATTGCATTATATTTTAGAAAGCCTTTTCCTATCCAGAGATCAAGAAATATTTTCTCCCCCTTTTTAGATTTATAAGTGGTTTGATTTTGTAATAATTAAATTCTAAACTATGTGTTTGATTTTTCTCTGTTTTGTATAGTAAGGTTCTATATTGATTAAGTTATATATTTTTCCCAAATAATTGATCAATTGGCCTAATACCAAGCATCTATAAAGTCCCTTTGCCTTTTTCTTTTAAATCCAATCCCAGGGTTTTTTTTCTAGAACAATCCTCAGTCTTGTTGTGATGGTTTCCTTGGAAGCATTTCTTATCTCCCGGCCTCTTGGCTATCATGCTTTGTCTTACATGTGACTCAATGATATCATCTCATCATATCCCAATCATTTGTATTTCTTTTGGCAGAGTATTCCATTTAGGTTGAGTTACTCAGCAAGATTGGGAAAGATGATTGAGGTTTTTTAACTCCCAAGGAGCTCAATTTCTTTTCACATCACAATAGCCATGGCTAGAAGAGCTAGGAAGAAACTGCCTGCATCTGTGACACAGAGCCAGATGCCTTATCACTTCCAGCTGTGAGGTGGAGTTACCCCCCCAGGCAGCTTGATGAAATGTGGTTTGAAATTCTTGGTTATTTCCATATGAAAACCAAAATTAATTGAAAAGATATTTTAAGGTTCTCTGTGGTGTGTTCTTCTTTGTTAAGGTCTGGAGGGCAGAAAAAAATGTTTCGCAAACTGCTGTCTATGCTCTTGGGTAGCTCAAGAACACAGGAAAGTTGGAGAGAAACCACTTGGGAGAGCCATAGCCATCTATTATGGCCACTTAGAATTGATTCTAAAAAATGGATTTGATACTTTAGAGGAATATTTAATCCAAATAAAGACCATGTCATTCCAAATATTAACCCATCTCTTCCCTGAGACTGATCTTAGGAGGCAATATTTCAAGAGATAGTGAGCTGATTCCAGATGTTTTACTTTTAGAGTTTTAAGCAAAAGATACATTAAAATTGTTTTTATTCATATATGCATGCTTACACCTAAAACTTATATCCAGCAAAAACTTCTTAACATCTTCTAAAAAGAGGTATTTGAAATGAGAGCAATAATCTGAACTTTAGACTACCAGATTTAAAAGATAAATACTATTTAGGTTAAAAAATTGACTGTTAATAGATAGTTTCAGCTCCAACGCATACGCGTTCTATTGCTTCTGCAAAGTAGTGAATGATCCTGGTATTATTGTGTGTGGCGTGGGGAAATAGTTTAATGCAGCTTTAATCACTTACAATAAAAGAGTTAAGTACAAAAAATTTTAATGTTGAACTCAGCCCCCATCTTCAGGATATGGTTATTATATATTGTAATCCATGTCTGTAAGCATGTGTTCTGCTGGCATGCTCAGTACACTTGTGCCAGGGACAAGAGCAGGAATCTCTCCTGTTTGGTCAGTGACTTTGTTCTACCAGTTGTAAATACTTTCAATGTTACCCCTGCATATACCTCTAGAAAAATCAGTGAAAAGGTATATGCATAAACAAAAGCATTATTCTTTCAATATAAATTATATTACTTGAGATTTATTTATGAAAACAACATGTTTTATGATAATGGTGTTGTTTTGTCCATGTTGAGAATATAGAACACTTTTTATGAAAGTTAAATGTTTGTGATTAAATGTTTACTATTAGGTTTTATTATATTTAAAATTTTTTTATTTAAACAATGGCGAAAAGACCTAACTTTAATATATATCTACCATTTAGAAATCTTAGTTATCTAACTAGTTCACTGAACAATCATTTTTTTATGTAGCATTTATTAACTGAGACTTTAAAATAGAAGCTTAATTAATCCAAATCTCCTTAAAGTCAGTGTTGCCCTAATATATGACATCTATTTTCACCCTTCAATTTTTCCCAGGAGAGATCCACCCATCTTTTAAAAAGCCACATCTATTATTGGTAAACAAAACAAAACAAACAAAAAACACCACAAAACATGGTGCTAATTTTGAAGTGTAAAGTTATAGACAAATAAAGTGAATAGTAAGAAATACCTTATGGTCCCCACCCAGACCTTGAGATTGTGAACAGTAAATATATCATGTGTCCTTCCATTCTTAGTAATTGTTGTCCTAAGGAGAAACTTGAAAAAATTATATTTAGGCCAATGATATCACCAAAGGTATATGTCTGATTCCTCTCTAGCTTATCAGAAATATGAAGACTTTCATAAGAAGAATGTAAGATTCACATTTCACCAGAGGTTAGCTTGAATCAATAGGTTTTGTAACTTCCATGAATATCCCCCAAATGAATTAAAACCAGAATGTAACATGCCAAGTTCTTCTGATGTGGTTTGGCTTGTGAGTCATTGACATTTAATTTTAAGCAACCATTAGCCATTGCCCAAATGGACAGCTCCTCCTTATCTCAGAACCTGAACATCAAGTTAAATAAATCTGCAATGAATATTCTGACACCACAATAATACCAAATTGACAAGCCTCTCAAGAATAACCTGTAGAGAATAGCATTCTGGTACCATCACTAGTTGTATTAAAGCTAATTTTCAAAATAGCAGGAGGGGAAAGTTAGTACAATGCAGGGTAGATTGGAAGTCCCTTGTCCTGTGTGGCAGCTGCTGCTTTATTTCTGGACAAGCATAGGCTTTCCCTAATCAGGATGAAAGGGCTGAATTGGTCATCAGGTCATTGCCTGTTATCTCTTCAGCATCAATCTCTCTCTTGAATCCCACCAACTGGATGCTCAAGCCATAGTGTTCCCAGAAAGATGGTAAAAGTGAATTCCCTTAACCATCACCCTGCTCAAGATATATTACAACCTGGGCTCTCAAGGGACAGAATATCTGGAAACTCAGTAAAAAACAAAACACAATAATGCACCTCTTACAGAAAATATGCTTACTTCCTGGTATGTAGCAAATGTTTGAAAAATACTTTCTGAATGACAGGGTGAGAGCAAAGGAAGGAAGTGGCGATGGAGGTTTGCAGTTGGAATGGGGGTCAGAAAAGCTGCAGAGAAGAGAATCAGAAAAGAAATGACTTCAGAAAAACTGGTGCCATGATGGTGTCCATAGGACATCGTGTTCTGCTGAGGCCACACCTCTAAACTGTGCCAGCCTGAGGGACTCTCACCGCCTCGCTCCCCTCTCCCACAGCCCCCACCTGCTGCACTGAGATTTTTATACAGATTGATAGCTGTTCATAGCTGCAAGTCTGAAATGGCAGGGACAGGTTACTGGTACCTTCTAAGCAAACAAGCAAAAGCACTATTCCTGAAACAATCCAATTAAAATCGGATTGCAATTGGTTAAACACCATTAACTTGGAAATTATCATAATGCTTTATTTTCCAGTGAGTCCAGGTAACAGACATTTCCCTATCCTTTTATAAGAAAACACAGGGAAAGGATTCACAGTATGGATTTCTTCTTGGGAATTTTAGAGCCTTCAACATAGGCACACAGGGACTGTCCTGATGCCCTTTAAAAACCTGCTTACAGAAAAGCAGCTACCTGCTCAATAGTCCAATCCTGGTGCATCTTTGAGTTTCAGAAGAGGTGAGAGACTAATTATAGGTCTAAAAAGGTAAAAATAATTGGATTCTGCAGCTAAATAATTTCCTTGTTTTTTGGCAGCACATAGTGTACATACAGTCTTTCTATCCTCTTAATAAAATATGGGTCTAACTCAAGTAAGAACTCCAAGAGAAACTTTGTTCCATCCATCTGAAGAGTGAAATATTTTCTATTTGTCTTTGTAAAAAATTGTTTAAAAAAATAATCTCAGCAAAAGAAATGATAATTGGAATAATGCAACTCAAAGGCTCAACCCAGTGACCTGCCAGCCTTTCTGCTATAATGGGATGTCTCCCTGAAAAACTTCACACTCAGCAAAACGGGCATTACATTCAGTAAAACAAAGCATTCAAAATTCTTTGGAGCTGCAGCCACAGCTCTAACAAAAACCATTATTCATGCCTGCAAAGATGGTGTGGCTCCTCCGACAAGTGCTCTCATGGGACTGGAGGTCGCTGCAGCAGGCATTTGGAATTCTGAGAAAGGAGAGGCCATGGACTGTCAACCCTTTCACAGGAGCAGGGCAGGTGGAAGTAAGGTGGACACACGAGGCAGTGCTATGGGGCTGATTGTCCCTCTCTGCAGAAGGCTCCTGTATACAAGTGCTCATATTTAATTTTCTTATGAAAAAGGTGAAAGATAGCTTACTGCCAGTGCAACATCCACCTGAGATTTTTTTTCTCCCTCTTGAAGGTTATGTTTCTATTACTACTTTCCTCCTCCCCTTGCCTGGGAAAAATCATATACAAATTATATTTACAATATTTTCTCTTTACCGATAGTATCGATAAATGAGCTATGCAGTGCAGGAGCATATGTCAAAATTGAACAGATTGTTGATTAAATTAACTTTTTCTAACCATAAATGTATTTCATTCATGTAAGAAATTTGGAAAATAGAGAAAGGTATATGAAATAAAATTACTATCAGCTTATAAAAATAACTACTGTTGGGGAGTCAGAATTCTTGATGTTGAATCTATTCCTCTTTACTATCTACAATACAACCTTCTTACTTTATTGTCTTATAAGTTTTTTTAAGTTATAAAATTTCTCTCTTAACAGCAAAACAAACAAACAAACAAAAACAACAACAACAAACTATGATCTATTTCCTTCTGGCCTTTTGTCTATACATAGTTGTTATAAAATCAGGTTATGTTGTGGTTACAAATTTGTATCCTTTGTATTTACAGCATGCATACGTTTCTACTTTATTAAATAGATGTCAAAAACTTGAACCATACTTTATTCAATAAAACCTCTGTTTTTGGATAATGAGATTGTTTCACATAAACACCCTTACACATAAAATATTATTTGTATCTTCAATTAGTTCCTTAGGCTAGGTTGCTGGGCGTCTTAATCCCTTAGGGCTATTCGAACAAAAATGCCATAGACTGGGTGGCTGAAATAGGAAACATTCGTTTCTCACACTTCTGGAGTTTGGGAAACCCAAGATCAAGGCGCCGGCAGGTTTGGGGTTTGGTGGAGCTCACTTCCTGGTTCACAACTGGCCATCTTCTTGCTGTCTTCACATGGCAGAAGGGTGGAGGGAGCTCTCTGGGGTCTTTTTTATAAGGGCACTAATTCCATTTATGAGGGCTCCACCCTTATGACCTAACCACTTCTCTAATGCCCCACCTTCTAATGCCATCACATTGGGGAATAAATTTTAACATATGAATTAGGAGGGGCACAGCATTCAGTCTAGAGCTCTAAGTCAATATGTAGATTATTTTTAAAATAATCTGATAATAGTCAATTTTGTTCATTTATTTATTTTTAAACATAAGGACCTTAATACAAGAAGGAAAATGGCCAACAGTAAGCTTGGTGTAATGGCACTTCTTTATTATGGAAAGGTCATTTATTAAAATGTTAACATGTTTGCTCAAACCGGTTTGGCTCAGTGGAGCATGGGCCTGCAGACTGAAGGGTCCAGGGTTCAATTCCGATCAAGGGCATGTACATTGGTTGTGGGCGCATCCCCAGTAGGGGGCGTGCAGGAGGCAGCTAATTGATGACTCTCATCGATATTTCTAACTATCTCTCTCCCTTCCTCTCTGTAAAAAAATCAATAAAATATATATTTTTAAAAAATAAAATGGTAACATGTTAGTCTCTTTTGCTCACAATTATTGTAAGTATTTCATTCAGCACATCCTGATTTATCAACAGGTCTAGTAGGTAGAATATATGTACTATTCATGGACTTTAAATTAAGCATCAAGAAATTGAAGTCTCCCTGGCTGATGTGTCTCAGTTGGTGGGAGCTTCGTTCCATGCACCAAAAGTGATGGGTTTGATTCCTGGTCAGGGCACATACCAGATTGAGGGTTTGATCCCTCGTCAGGGTGCATGCAAGAGGCAACCAATCGATGTTTCACATAGACATTTCTCTCTCTTTCTGAAATCAATTTTTAAAAGAAGAAATTGATGTCATGCTTACCTCTGTAACTCAACCTAATTCTTCTCTATATCATTTGTTGCCTTTCTTTTATTTTGTTCCCATGTCTCTTCTTTGGTTTCACAGTAATGTGTCTAGTGATGACTTCCCTTTGAAGTTCACACTATACCCATCCCTAGTTCAAGTAGTTCTATGATTTCAAAACTTCCAGTGGGACATCACAGGCAATTTGGGAGAGATAAAAGTGCATAGTCTCCTGAGAACCGCCCTTCTAATTCCGAGGTTCCTTGTGCAAAAATATGTACAGAATGGTTAAGAGTACAGGCTTTGGAAGTAGACATGTCTAGATTAGATTCCAAGCTCAACCTTCTTGGGCAAGGAAATGTGTGGTGTCAGGAGCTCACGGTGTGTGTGTGTGTGTGTGTGTGTGTGTGTGTGTGTGTGTGTGTTGTGTGTGTGTATAGTAGTAGTAGTAGTAGTAGTAGTAGTAGTAGTAGTAGTAGTAATAGTAGTAGTACCAGCAGCAGCAGTGGCAACAATTGGGTGTACTCAAACAATTGATATTGTTTGGTTTAGAAAGATAATATGTAGCTTAACATCTATTTGAGAGAGAAGGTAAAGACAGAGTTTGATGGGTTACACCTGAAATAAAGTGAAAATTAACTAGCATTCAACCCAGAAGATTTCATTTCTTTCCATTGCAATTTCTAAGTAAACTAATGGGAGTTCTGAAAAAATTGCTTCTGTCAAATCTTTGGACATTTATGGGGAGAGTTGTAAAATAAAGTAGAGGCAGATATAGGTGTACTACAGATCCTTCCAGCTACTGTTAAACCAGTGTTATGGGAGACTTCATTGAAGACAAGAAAGGGCTACTTCCAGTTCCTATTATTTTTTTTTATTAGCACTAAATCAAAACTGACTCTTCCTCTTTTTTCAGCCAGCATATGTCCCAAGGAAACTGATCCCAATAACAATCATCAAGCAAGGTAATTTTATGAATCTGCTTTGGATATGTATTTATAACAATTTTAATATACTTTTTTAATTGAGTAATTCAACATCATACATATTTTTTCAACTTCCCTGGTTATTGTTTTTTTCAGAAAATGCTTGAAGTAATCGGTATGGCCTACTAAATTAGAAGTTAATAGGTAATTTTGGCTCTTATACCAAGAGTCCTAGTCCTGGCAAGTCATGTTGTTTAGACAACTAGAGACAAAGCAATCATAAGTATTCAATTCTAAAAAGCCCATTAAATATGTGTGGCTTAGCTTAGTGTTAAGCTAGCATTCATGAAGGAAATCATTAAGAGGATATAAATGAATGAAATGAAAACTTTAGGGAAAGGTAAGACATCCAGGTTTCAAGAATTATAATGTCTTATTTTATTTCATTATCCAATTGTTTTGACTCCCAATTTTTAAAATTATTATTTTAAACACATTTAAAAAATCTTTATTGTTGAAAGTATTACATAGGTTCTCCTTTCCCCCTCATTAACCTTTTCTAGTCCACTTCTGTCTCGGCCCCCACCCCAGGCCCTCACTACCCCATTGTCTGTGTCCATGGGATATGCATATATGTATACAAGTTCATTGGTTGATCTCTTCTGACTCATCCTTCCTTACCTTCCCTCTGAGATTCAACAGTCTGTTCATGCTTCTCTGCCTCTGGGCCTATATTCATTCATCAGTTTTTTTAGTTCATTAGATTCTACATATGAGTGAGATCATGTGATAATCTTTCTCTGACTGGCTTATTTCACTTAGTATAATTCTTTTTGGGTCTACTATATTATGTCCAGAAAGTTTCTTGTGAGAAGAGATCCGGGACTTAAAATTATTCTTCATTTTAAGAAAATAATGTCACAAGTATACTCTGAAAGTAGGGTCAATTAGAATTGGAATTATCCAATGATTCTTTGCTTTGAGAATATATATTAGTATTTTCTAATTTTTTTTAAATACATATTTTATTGATTTTGTACAGAGTGGAAGGGAGAGAGATAGAGAGTTAGAAACATCGATGAGAGAGAATCATCGATCAGCTGCCTCTTGCACACCCCCTACTGGGGATGTGCCTGCAACCAAGGTACATGCCCTTGACCGGAATTGAACCTGGGTCCCTTCAGTCCCCAAGCCGACGCTCTATCCATTGAGCCAAACCGGTTTCGGCAGTATTTTCTAATTTTTTAATTTATTAGGCCATTGCCTCATTTTATGCATTATTTAGGAAATTTTCAGCTTCTTAGAATAGGACACTTTATGATAAAGTAATAATAGCCTTTCAGTACTTGTAGACATTGGTGTTAAGGTAAGATGCTCCTTCTAATCCTTTCGTTGGCTCTGTAGTCAACCCAATGAGTTCCTTTTTATTAATTGAAAAGTTAGTTCAGTGCTTCTTCGGTGTAGATGACTGCACATTATTAGCTTCTTACTGCTTTCTGACTATTTCCCCCCAACACACACTATTATCTTTTTGTATTTCAACAGTGATTCAGAATGTTACCCACAGAGCTTCAATTAAACCCCCAGATAGGACTCCCATTGGAGGAACGATACTGGGTGAGTAGTCTTGAACTCTAGACCAAGAGAAAGTCAGGCTATATATATATATATATATATATATATATATATATATTAGAGCTTTTATGGAATTTTGCACTGTGAGTAGATCTGTTAAGTTGATGTTTTCATTTCCTTTCAATATTTAGGATCCTGGCTTTGTTTATTCTGGGCTAGGAGCCAAGAAATGCTACCTCTATCCCAATGTGTTAGAGAATCAACTCTAGCTCATGCCTAGTGGGAATGATGAAACCCATCCTACCTATCCCACAGGGTTGTTGCAGTTATGAAGGAGTCTTCGTTATATTGAACTTCTCTGTTTTTATTTTTTTATTTCCCCCCTTTATTGATTAAGGTATTACAAATGTGTGCTTATCCCTCTATTGTCCCCTCCACTCCCTCAATCCTGCCCTTACCCTCACCCCCTGTTGTCTGCATCCATTGGTTATGCTTATATGCATGCATACAAGTCCTTTGGTTGTTTATTATTAATAGTGGTATCCTTTGTTCACCATAACATCTTAAGCATCCACTTTTCAATTTTTAAAGTCCATGGATTAAAAGTCAGAGGATTTTAGTAGTTCAGTTTCAAATAAGGAAAAGATTCTGTTTAAAAAGTACTGTCATATTTTTTCCAACATTTTAAAGTTGTGATTAATCATAACTAAGCAAAATAAGTGCAAAACTCAATATTTACTAATATCTGCCACTCTGAACTTTATTTTATGGCATGATGCATTTTCTTTCTCTCATCTGTTCTTCTGTTTTCTTCCAGTTCACCTTGTTATTCCCGGTCTTAATGAAACCACCGTAAAACTCCCAACATCTATAATGTTTGAGATTTCAGATGCAATCAAGACACAATTAGGTAAGCAGCAAAGTTCTAAGATTGAACTTTTCAGTGACCAAGTATTAGAACTGATAGTCTTAGAATAAGCACTTACATAATCAACTCTTCACATTTTATGGATGCAAAAACAGAGGCCCAAGCCCCTGTTTGGTAGCACTCAGTCAACAAATACTTGTTAAGCATTACTCTGTGCCAGATAGCACATTACGGGGTCCTATCATGGTGAGCTATACAGCACATCCTGGGACCTCAGACTTATTTTTCCCTTTTTTCCTTATTGGAGACCTAACCTATTTATTTTTCTGATGGTAGGCAATCAGACTGTATCTGTTTTAAAAATTAGGAACTCCTAAATTCTCCTTAACTGTTAATTTTGAGAACTTCCTGAAAGAAGGAGGAACAAAACTTAAGTGGGTAAAGAACACTTAATAGGTGGTCTATTAGACTTACAGTTTTAGAACAATTTTCAAAGCTTATGCATCATCATTTCCTTAAGATGTTAAAATATTTGCCAGTAAATATTTGTGATTTTTGTTCAACCCTTACATTTTTACTGTAAAATATTCATAGCTGTCAGACATGTGACCCTAGGCTTCATATCCTTAATTCGTACATCAGGCTTGATCATCTCACTTTTAACTGTAAAACCCTGTGACTCAACTCCACGTCACCTGTACACTGTACTCATAGACAGGAAGCTCCCAAATAAGTGCCCTCAGGGAACCTGCGTTTGGAATCAGAGCTCAGGACTTTACACTCACCTGTCCTCTGTCTGGAGCCTACACATTACCTTACTCCTCACCTGGAAACTTGTTTGGAAAGAGAAAAAAAAAAGGAGCCAGCCAATCTCTTATTGATTTGGTCCCTATCTGTCTCTCAAAACTACAAAATCCAAGATGTGAAGGAGACTGAAAATGGGCAGTTTTCTTCTCAGATCACTGCTGTCAGTTTAGAATTAGATGTTTCATCCCCTAGTTTTGAGTGATATTTCCTTTTTTTTTTTTTTTTCAAAAAGTTCCACAAGCTACATTAATATCAATTCAGGTGTTTTGTATAATTTAGATATTCAGCGATTTTGTTTTGTTTTTATTTTGTTTTTCTGATATAAATCACTAAGCCTTCAGGATTGTAATTTTAATAGGGAAGAAATGGTATGTGAATAGTTAAATATCTCTTTAACTTGAATTTCTAGGGAAACACCTGTCAAATTTAACACTGGCCATTTTTATGCATTGAAGAGATTGATAGTATGTTTGAAAATGTACAGTAAATCCATCCAATGTAACATCTTAACAGACTGTATTCTAAAAATTATATTTTAAATTTACTGTAATATTTTAATGCAGACATAAGCAATTTTTCATACTACTAAGGAAGAAATAAACTTTCCTAGGGTTATTTATCACCACAATTCAGAAAAGTCCAGTTTTTTAATGGGGTAAATCCTGAAAATAATATCTTCATTCCAGCAGTGTCCATCATGGGACATTGAGAAATTATTAGTTTTTGTTCTAAGAGCACATGGTGTGAATAATGAGAGATATAAACAAGAAAATTAGTATTACACCCACATCACCCAGGGATATACATAGGGCTTGCCAAAGTCAAGATTTAGCTTGCCAAAAATTAACGGAAACAATAGTGTTGAAAAAAAAAAGGTACAGAAGAATCAGAGAAGGAAAAGAAATTTCCTGGGTTTCAGGTCATTCTGATGGGATTTTGCTCCACTGGTGCCAAGAGTGCACTTGTACGTAAATGATATGGAGGAATGTTTGGGTTTGATAGGAAACATAAAATCCCCCCATTTAAATATCTCTCCATCCACCAATTTCTCTGATTCTGCAAGGCAATATTTAGAAATACAATATGCCTTTGTAAGGAATTGGTGATGTGTAAAGAATACAGTTCTCTCTCAGGAACATAGTTTACCCTTTTTTCTTCTTTTCAGCCTAAGGTGATTGCCAGCTAAGGGCATGTTTAGAATATAAGAAGCTAAAGAAAAACAATTTAGAGCATTCAGGAAAGTCTATGGATGTTAAAATACATTAGTAAGTAAGCAAGTCAGTAAATAGTCCTAGTCACTCTGGCAACCATCAAGAACACAGGATGTTACACAGGGAGGAGAGGATGAGCAAATGTACCCGAAAGGATCAGAGGATACTGAAAGAGAAAAGACCCTTAAAGAGAATCCTTATAATCTTACATTTGATAAATAAAAGCCAACACCTTCCTATGGCACATCCTGAAAATAACAGAATCAGGACTTGCTCATAAAAATTTGTAACCCGAAAGGTTTTTCCTGTGCGAACAATCACAGTGCTTCTAAACAAAAAAATGGTGACTACAAAAAAGGGCAGGAAAAAGGGTTGATCAAATTTAGAAGTTTTAAAAATAGGATTTTTTTGTAAAATTATACTGGATTGGCATTTTTAGTTATTCTAGAAATAGAGTCCTCTCTATTTAAGCCTTGCTAAATTAATTTGAACAAAGGAATCAAATATTTCTTTTTTTTAAAGTAGATTTTATTGATTTTTTTTACAGAAAGGAAGAGGGAGAGATAGAAAGCCAGAAACATCGATGAGAGAGAAACATCGACCAGCTGTCTCCTGCACATCCTCCACCAGGGATGTGCCTGCAACCAATGTACATGTCCTTGACCAGAATCGAACCTGGGACCTTTCAGTCCACAGACTAATGCTCTAACCACTGAGCCAAACAAGTTCTGCTGGAATCAAACAATTTCTGCTGTGCAACTTCATGTGCTCATGAATCCAAGGCACACACATGGCTATTAGATATGATAGGGCAAGTATATAGCACTCATGACACCTATTTCTAGCATTTTAAGTCACTCCTGAAAATAATTAGCTCTATGTAGGAATCTACTGAATGCTTCTATAACACAGATTAAAAATTGATTGGCTTCTATTAACGTTGTGAAATGGATGATTTTATAACTGCCTTTGTCCATCACCAATAAATAAATATTTCATATCAGCTGAAAAGAAGAAAATGGTCTTTACAGTGGGGATGTGAACTACAAAAGGAGGTTACAAAGTTTGCATCCTCAAAGAACTTTGAGAGAACAGGTTAGATCAATAGTTCCCAACAAAGAGCAGTTTTGTCTCCCATGGGAAATTAGGCAACGTCTGGAGACATTTTTGGTTGTCACACTATGCACATGCTAATGGAATTCAGTGGTAAAAGCCAGAGGTGCGACTCAACATCCTGCAACATAGGAAAGGCCTCATACTAAAACATTATCCAGCCCAAAATGTCAATAGTGCCAAGGCTGAGAAACCCAGGATGTTCCTGGACAGCCTTTGGACTATAAAATCCCATCTCGCTATAATCAGTTCAAAGTGACACGATCAGGGTATCTCAAAGATTAATTTTTTCATGCCACTAGACCATTGGATGGCAAACTCATTAGTCAACAGAGCCAAATATCAACAGTACAACAATTGAAATTTTTTTTGAGAGCCAATTTTTTCAAACTTAAACTTCTTCTAATGCCACTTCTTCAAAATAGACTGGCACAGGCCGTGGTGTTTTGTGGAAGAGCCACACTCAAAGGACCAAAGCTCTGCATGTGGCTCGAGAGCCATGATTTGCCAATCACTGCACTAGGCTGTTTCAAAATATTATATAATAAGTAGGTTATTGATTTTGGTGTGAAAGAGCTGACTCAAATTAATCCTTAGTGCATTTTTAAAATGAGAAATATCTTAATCATTGGGAAACTCTGGTATAGAAATGTACTTTGAAAAAGAATACCTACATTTTAGAAGGAAGTTTCCTGAAGAGTTGTCTGAAGAGGGAAAAAATATATATTTTAATCTTTACACTAAATCCCCTCAGTGACCAAAACAATAAGTGTTTATTAAGACATGGCTCAAATAAATTACTGTCGGTATTTTTTTTGCCACAAGTATTTTCAAATAATTTAGTTTCCCAAGTGTGTTGCTTATGTTTTTTAAAAATATCTGAACCTATTGCATGTTTTACCATGTATAATAATGGAAATTTTCTATTCATTGATTTTTTTAAAAATTAGGAGTACTTCAATATAAAATTCCAGTGAGTATTTGCAATGCAACATATGCCTTCCAGAAACTCTATGAATAAGAATGACTTGAGAGTTATCCAAGTGTTGGGTTGTGATTTATTCCTTCATTCCAATGCCAACTTAAATCTTAATTATTGAGGGTTCAAAGAAGGGATTCTGAACACTGACATCTATTCAAGCTAATCCCTGGTAGAAATGCACGATAAATGTGTTGACTACCTGGTGGGAAGAGATAAAAGCAGAATAGATTTCTGGAAATAGTTTGTTACTTGATTATGTTTTGAAAGAATTGTATTTGGACACTGTGTTATAGGGAAGTGAGGTAAACTGTTTGATCTCTCTCTCTCTCTCTCTCTCTCTCTCTCTCTCTCTCTCTCTCTCTCTCTCTCTCTCTCTCTTTCTCTAGCTAAAAATGAAACCTTGGCATTACCAGCTGAATCTAAAACACCAAAGGTAGAAAAAATCCCAGCACAGCCCATAACAGGTAATGAGATCCCCATATTGTTCACTTGCAATAAGTAATATTTTTCTAATAGTAAATGCTTGACAAGACTGTGCTTTTTTCCAGTGAAGAGCCAGTAGGAAATTCATTTTGATTGATAGCACAAAACGATAGGTGATGTGATTCTAGGTCTTTAATCTAATGTCTGGAAAACCAATAGCTGCAAAATGAACTACTGAATCATATAACTAATATGTAATATGGAAACTGTATTTTTCACTCTAAGTGAAAGCTATTACCTCAACATTGTGAAATAATCTTATACTAAAATGTAATGCCTGGTTTGGGTGTTTTCCTTTTATGTGAAGACATTAGGCCATTTTTCATTTCTCCACTTTCACAAGTTGTCTTTTGAGCAAAATGCCACGATTAACCTTCATAAATCCATAGCTTGAGAGCTATATCATTGAGCAGCAATGTCTTTGGAAGATTAAAAATCCCAATAGAGATAATATGTAATAGTTTAGTAAAAATTCTTTAAAGAGGAAATGTGGAATGCATTTTCCCCACAATTTATCGGCCATTACTAACAAACATTCAGCATTTTTCCTATGAATGAACTGCCCAAGTCAAGCCCACTGGGGACACATTATTCTCTGAACTACAGTGTTTTGCCAGAGCAATACCACCTCATCTAGGACACAGTGAAGCAAACATCTGGCAAGAATTTCTCCAAATCCACATTTAGCAAAGTAACTCCAATCTAAAGTAAAAATTTTAACCCATAAAATTGCTATAAATTGAAATATTAGTAGTTTTTAGCTTGTACTAAACTCTTAGATTCATAACTGATCCAAAGGAGTTAAATATTGGTGGGGAAAATAAAATAATGTGATTTCAAGAAATCAATTCAAATAGGGATATTTCTGACAAGCAAGAAGTATGTGGCTCTGCCTAAAGGAGAGAGATGGACCTTCCATCCCTCACCTTCATGGCAGGTGGGGCAGAGGTCAACATTATTCAGGAAGCTGAAATAATCTGAATGAAATCCCTAGGTAGTTTCTGATTTCAATATAATTGTCCAATACCAATAAAAACATAGGCATGATTTAGTGGATGACTGCAACTTCTTTTCTGCCCCGAAGATTCTGACCATGGAAGAGTCTATAGATTTCTTAGTTCTCTTCCAAATCCTCCTCACAATGTTCCACTTCAGAAACACTTAAACACCATAACTTATTATTCAGTGTTATTGTGTTACCACAAGTCCTTAGCCATGCAAAAATTCTAGAATTGTCTAGCTCCCAATTCACTCCAGATCTTAGTGATCCTGGTTCTTATTTCTTGAACACTATTTAGCGGAGGTCTTCTTTGCTTTTGACCTAGCATTTGCATCCTTATCATCATTTCAACCCAGTTTCAATCTTCCCATGTTGACTGCAGTTTGAAAGAGAGAAATCATAGAATGTAATGGTTCTCACTAAACCTTCTTTGCCCCGGATCATTGTTTTATTTGCCTATTTATTGATTCATTTAGTAAACATTTATTATGTGCTTGCTTACTATATCCCAGACATTGTGCTAAGCCTTGAAGGTAAAGAGAAATAAAAAGGCAGATGAATAAAGAGTTAAGATTAATCTGCTAAGTGCTTTCATGGAGGTCAGTTCGGAGTGCTTTTTGTAACACATGGAAAGCAGACCCAATCTGGAAAGGAAACGTTGGGAGCCATGTCAGGTCAGGCTGTGGCACAAGCAAGCCATGGAGTCCTTAACATACGCAACTTGAAAAGTAGTGAGCTGTGCGCCAGCTATTTATTCCAAGGGGCCCCAATATCTTAGGGTCTTCGGTTGCTTCGTAATTTTATATTAACTTGTAAAGTTGTCTTCTTTACTTTTCAGTGACTCCTGACTCAGTTCCAGGAACCACTAAATCCACTGTGTCTAGTGCATTAGATATTTCAGAAACAACACTGGGTAATTCTAAGAAGGTTTTTTGTTTGTTTGTTTTTTGTTTTGTTTTTTCTAAAACAAACAAAACCCTCCCAGCACTCTAGAAAAGAAAAGTAACCCAGTACCTTACTTTTCCCCTCATCTCTCACCTCCTTACTGGCAGTAGTTAATCGTCCTATTTCTTGAACCAATTTCATTAGCGTTAATCACATGCCTCGATCCCGGTGAATGATGTTCGAGGGAGCGCTGGATGCTAGCAGCTAGCTGCACACCTTTCCCCCAGTCTCCCAGGATGTACAGAAGCCTTTTATCACAGGAGGCTTGGAGAGGTGGGGGAAACCTGGAAGTCTTGACTGTGTCCGTGCTTTCTGTTTGCAATGGCTTTTCCAAGTCTTATGTGTGCTAAAAATAAGGAGAACCCCCCAAATGTCGTGCTTTCTAATAAGAATTCCATGTCACACCTGTTAGCTGCTTCGTGGTCCAGGAGGCACTTGTTTGGTTCTCTTCAAAGAAAAGCAGCGTCATGTGTTTTGTTCTGTGCTTGTGATGTTGACCATCGTGCCTCACTGCAGCCCTTTGAAAATGCACCTTCAACCTTGAACAGCCACGTCCACCTTTTCCAGGGAAAGCCAGCCATGTCCTTGAAAGGCATCAGCTGCCGGTGCACACTCTGTGTCGGCACAGTGTCGAATCCCAGGTCACACATTTGCTAACCGAATTCTTCTTTATTTTAGTTCTCAGCGAAAAGACCCCGGAAAGATCGCAAACTATTCTAATACCTAGGTTTGAGTTACCACTGAGCACTCTAGGTAAAAAAAAAAAATTAAATATTACAGCTTATTGTTACCTTGCAAATTTTATGCATGCTTGAAGCCATCCTTAGGCTAATTTATTTAAAGTTATCTCCTCACAGGAAAGAAGAAACACTTAGCTTATAAAACAATAAGCTCCTCAACACCATGGTTTTAAATGTTATGAAATCTTTATAATTTAGGGTCCTAAAGAGTGTCTCTCTCTCTCTCTCTCTCTCTCTCTCTCTCTCTCTCTCTCTCTCTCTATCAAATCCTTCAGCTATTTAAAATTCTTCTAATTTCTTTATGAACACAGTATAAAAAAAGTTATTGGTGAAAGTGAGCTTAATTATAGAGCCATGTGGTCACTACGATTCTGTTTTTAAATGCTAGTAGATGGACACTTGCTAGTTCAGACATGTTTGGTACTTGATGTGAGTCTACATGAGCACACATACACATAGCTGAATAAATTAGAAAACAAGTTTAATCAAAATTAAAAGAAGAGCTCAAGTATAGTGTCTGGTTATAAAAACCAGAAAAGGGAGCTTTATTATATCATCCAATGTTGAAACACAGGATTAAAAAACACTACTAACAGTCCCTCTTAATGTGAATAATTTGCCTTTCTGTGTTTGTTTATTGCTTTAGTAAAATCTTTTCTCTGTTACTTGTACCTCAAGTCATAACATTTCTTATGTGTTTCTTTACAGCTCCGAAAAGACTTCCAGAATTTCCTCAGGCAAAAACACCCTTCCCTTTTGAGAAACCTGGGGGCGCCTTGGGTAATAACAGCACCTGAAACCTGGTGTTAGGATGTGGGTGATGAGTGCTTAATTCTGGAGGCCACATTCCCTGGGTCCTGTCTCTGCAAACCTCAGTGAACTGATGAATTCCATTAACTTAACCAGACAAGTGTTGATTTGGTAACGCAACACAAACAAACAAAAAACATTTATTTGTCTGATTGGATTTTTTAAAAATTTGGTATTAATCCTCACTCTATCAATTCCACATAATTCATGAAGTTAGTTTTCCGTCCTCAAAAACATTGAGAGTATGACACCAACCTTTGGTCTCTCTTTAGTCCCTAACCAATTAGAGGCTCTCAGGATGGGAACATGGTAATTTTTTCTTGCTAGACAATGGCTTTTGATAGAACGAATGTGTGCTTTTCATTGCAGGATTCTCATAGTCAACCATACCAGCGACCTGTTTCTGTTTCTTTGTCCTCCTCAAAAAAATTTCAACAAATTCCCTTTCTTTTTACTACTGTAGCTTCGAGTGAAAAGCCATGGATTGCACCTATAACTAAAACATCTGAAGATTCCAAAGTTTTACCACCTCAAACTGGTAATTGCATTCTTTTTAAAAATAGACTGAAACAACAGTACAGGCAGTCCTTGGGTTACATCAGACTTGACATATGTTTTTTTGGTGGTTACATCTCCATCTCCCATGTATTTATTTTTTTTAAAAAGTTTCGTCATTTCAATGTATGTACATATGTGCTTTATGTTTTTTATTACTTATTTACCATAAGTAAAAGTCAGGAATTGTTACCTTTCTTTTAAGTTTTTTGCTGTTTTGCTTCATTACTTCTGTGTATGTGCTCCATGTGAGTGACGTAGATGCTTCTGTAGGTGTATTCTGACTTACGGCGAAAATTGCATTACATCACGCCATAGGAACGGATCTCTGAGGTAGTCCGAGGACTGCCTGTATTGAGTTTCTCATTTTTATCTTTATATGGTTCTTAATTGATTATCAGTATACTTTGTAATAAATGGTAAAGCTATAATTCATTCTTATACTTAAATAAATCTCATTTTTTTTTCTCAGTACAAAAGCAAAATGTTTTTGCATTTGTTTTAAATATCTGTATTTTAACATCTGGACATCTATTCAGATCTTTGGCTAGAAGATAAACTATGCATTGGCTCATTGAATTCCTAGAGATCACTTTAGTGCCATGAGGCAGAACCAAAAATAAGAAGCATCATCCTAGGTCAGATTTAACAGTGTGAATGTAATGTTTCCCTTACAGGTAGATATCTGCTTCTTTTCCAGCAATGAACCCATTTTAGTGACAATGATTGCTATTTATTGAGCACCTTTTACATGCCAAATGTGGTACTAGGTGCCTGGGAGTGAGCGGTATGACTTGGGGCCCAGGGGCCAGTGATAGGACATTGCATCCAGAGTCCAACTTTATAAAGGCTTCCCAGCCCCTGCATATCCTCAGGTCAGCTTTGATTTGCTCAGCAAGGAGCAACTGAGCTTGCAGGTGGAAGTCAGCAAGTCTAGCTGAGTTGGGGTAGGGCAAGTGACACTCATTGCCCCTCATGCAATACCTTATATTTGCCAACAATGAATATTTGAGAGCCTGCTATGTACAAGATATTATTACTGAGCCCTAAAATTGTAAGCATACTGTGATATAGAGGGAAGACCATAGGTCTTAGAAGTAATAATGGACTTTTTTTTTTTCAATTCTAGCTTTCCTGCTAAGTATATACTTTAGATATTTTAATTCTACATTTCTGGGTCTTAGTTTGCTCTTTTATAAATTGTGGCAATCGACTTTTTTTTTCTTCTGAGAATTCTTGTGTTCCACCACTAAAACTGATTAAAGGAGATAGCTCTCCTTTTATGAAAATAGATTTTTCTCAATTAAAAAGTTTTCTCCTATGTGTCTTTTTTTATACCTAATAGACAACTAAAGAGGATGGATATTCAGCATTTGATAATTATAAAACCTCAGAAGCCACTTAATGTGATTATCTCCATGATTTTTATTTTACTTGCTTGTATTTTAATTTTTGTATATTTTCTAGTTGTGGTTTTGGGAGCACATATAGTATATAATGTAGTTAGAAGTTCAAGTAATAAAGTTATATAACCAACATTTTGTGGAAATCTCCAGTAAAGAGTCTAGCAGGCCTGGCCTCACTCCCTCATACTTGATGAACATCATATCTCCCAAACCAAACACTCACTGGACTAGATGAACTTTTAGGTCCCTTTCATCTCTTAGCTGGAATGGTTTGAGAAAGGATGAGAATGAGCCTTCAGTTGCATAGATCTTGGTCAAATTATCTTTTCTCGGATATCTGCAGTGGTCTCAGATCTCAGCAAGAAAATATAAGGATGTTCAAATAAAGTAAGCATGCCCTTGCCGGGACCGGTTTGGCTCAGTGGATAGAACGTCGACCTGCGGACTGAAAGGTCCCGGGTTTGATTCCGGGCAAGGGCATGTACCTTGGTTGGGGGCACATCCCCAGTAGCGGGTGTGCAAGAGGCAGCTGGTCGATGTTTCTCTCTCATCGACTTTTCTAACTCTCTGTCCCTCTCAATTCCTCTCTGTGTAAAATCAATAAAATATATTTAAAAAATAAATAAAATAAAATAAAGTAAGCATGCCCTAACCCAGTGGTTGGCAAACTCATTAGTCAACAGAGCCAAATATCAATACTACAACAATTGAAATTTCTTTTGAGAGCCAAATTTTTTAAATTTCTTCTAAAGCCACTTCTTCAAAATAGACTTGCCCAGGTCATGGAATTTTGTGGAAGAGCCACACTGAAGGGGATAAAGAGCCACATGTGGCTCTGGAGCCGTAGTTTGCAGACCACTACCCTAACGAGTTTGGCTCAGAATAGCCCTGTGGACTGAAGGGTCCTAGGTTCGATTTTGGTCAAGGGCATGTACCTTGGTTGCAGGCACATCCTCAGTAGGGGGATGTGCATGAGGCAGCTGATCCATGTTTCTCTCTCATCGATGTTTCTAACTCTCTCTCTCACCCTTTCTCTCTGTAAAAAAATCAATAAAATATATTTTTTAAAAGTTTCTTTAAAAAAATAAAGTAAGCATGTCTATTATTATAACATCCACTCATTTTCTCAAGTGGGAAAACAGTTGAAAGTTGGCTAAAGATGTCAGCCAATCCAGAGAAGCCTCAAATTGGGTCTTTCTAAGCCATAGTTACTCTAATCACTGATGCAGAAACTTTACTACAATTACTTACTGTGGGTGTAAAAGTACATTTAGCATTCCAGATCACCTGAATCCAGGTCCTGAGTAGAGTTTCATACTGTGTTCCATTAGCTATTACACTGTGACTATGGAACAGCCATTAGTCTAAGGGCGTCTGTGATGGTTTATCTGCAACACTAAGGCAGTCCTGGCCTCACTCCCACATACTTGATGAGCATCACATCTCCCAAACCAAACACTCACTGGACTAGATGAACTCTTAGGTCCCTTTCATCTCTTAGCTTCTGTGCTACAGCACAGGAGACACAGGATCCCCCAAGGTCTCCCTTGAAAAGCCTCTAGTTTTTTTTGTTTGTTTGTTTGTTTTTGTTTGTTTGTTTGTTTGTTTTTTATGTCTTTGATTATTCAAGAGCAAACTGATCAAAACCTCAAGGGAACCTTATGGAGTTTTAATGCGTAGGGCATGGGTTATATATAAAGTCTGAATTGAACAAAGTATTGGGAGTGAGGGAAATTGGTTGAGAAGTGAAGATTGTAGAATTCCAAGGAGACAAATATAGGTGTGATTACAAATCCCATTAAAAGCAGAGTTTTTTTGCCTTTAATTTCAGAAAAGAAATATTCTGGTTTTGTCCTTTTGGAATATAACTAGTGGCTATGCAGTTTTATTATTCAGCTGCCTCACTGCTGCCAGGGCAATTTCAGGCCGCCAGAGAACTTCTAATTATTCACTGCCAACCTTCTTTTGATGAAGTGTTGGGGCTTGTCCTGGGCTGTAACAGCACAGCTGGTAATTATTGCAGACATGACCAGTAGCCCCAGGAACTTCTAGCCTGCCCTTACAACATTTAATTTTGTGCATCCATGCTACTCAGTGCGGTCCTTGGACCAGCAGCATTGGTGTCACTGGAAGTTAGCTGAAAGGCAGAATCTGGGGCTCTGCTATTAAGATCTCTAGGTGGCTGAAACCAGTTTGGCTCAGTGGATAGAGCATCAGTCTGTGGACTGAAAGGTCCAGGTTCAATTCCGGTCAAGGGCATGTACATTGGTTGTGGGCACATCCCTGTTGTGGGGTGTGCAGGAGGCAGTTGGTCGATGTCTCTCATCGATGTTTCTAGCTCTCTATCTCTCTCCTCTCCCTTCCTCTCTGTAAAAAATCATATATATATATATATATATATATATATATATATATATATATAATCTCTAGGTGGTCTTGCACATTAAAGTTTGAGAAGCACTATCTGTCACTGAAGTCTGTAACATTTCACATGGTATAGATTAGAGTCATCAAATGTGGTTAACTGTAGAAAAGAGAGCTCAAATCAATATAAGACTGATTTCTCAAAGTGGGTGATTCTTATCCCTTGTTTTTGCTGCTGTGCAAAACGCTTACATCTAACTCTTATATAGGAGTTTCATGGCATCTTCCTAACAGGTTAAATTTTAAATTAAAATTTATCATATGCATTATTTGTGACTTAAAGAGTTGATATAGCCGAAACTGGTTTGGCTCAGTGGATAGAGTATTGGCCTGCGGACTGAAGGGTCCCGGGTTCGATTCCAATCAGGGGCACATACTTTGGCTGCGGGCATATCCCCATGAGGGGTGTGCAGGAGGCAGCTGGTCGATGTATCTCTATCATCGATGTTTCTAGCTCTATCTCTCTCCCTTCATCTCTGCAAAAAAAATCAATAAAAATATATTTTATTAAAAAAAGAGTTGATATAGTCCTAGCACACTTTTATTGATTTTAGCATTTTTTTTTGTTTCTTTTGTGATTGATTTTGTGTGAATTTATACATGTACTGAGGGTATCTATTACCTATTTAGTTTCAATGTATAAGATTATTTATTTTATATTTCAACTAACATGACTTTCAAATAAAATTATTTGGTGAATTAAGAAGAGAAAGAGGTAAAGATAGTATTTGAATGCTGGTCCATAAAACCATTAATTCAATTTGCAGTTGTTATATCCTTTGAAGAAGCCATATATTTTAACTGATATTAATGATCTTATTATAGCAAAATTAACATAATTTGGTTTCTCTGTTGGGATACAGTGCATCTATACTTACTATGTCAATTCTCTTCACCCAAAGACTACCAGGAACACACCCATATTTGAACAAAGTTAGGTTTACTGACTCATTGCAACAATAGGAAATAAAAAACCGTGAGATACTGGGAACATTTAGTAAGATGGTTTTGGAAAGGACTTATTATAGGATTTGGTCTTGTGTTAGGTGATTCTGGAGAGGTTCCAAGGAAGAGAAACTTTGTGGATAGGATACTGTCAGAAAGTGGAGTAATTCTGTGATTGAATATCTCAATAATTACCTTTTTCTATCTT